CCTTGGTGCCCACCAAGGGATTATAGAGCCTGTAACGCCGCCATGGACAGACAAAATAGCTACACGATTTGGCAATGGAATTGTCAAGGATATAATCGAAAATGATACATTTTGCAACCAAATCTTAAAGACGCCAGCACTCCGTATGTTATAATGGTGCAAGAAACGCACGGGCTGGCCAAATTGTCGGGATATAAGTCATTCGGCAGTGCTGATGGGGAGACAAAGGTATTAGCAACGTTGGTTAAGCGAAATCACGCGGTGGTGCAACATGACAAAGAAATTAAGGCAATAAATCACATTCTCCTCGAACTCATACCCACGCGAAAAACAGAGGACAGTCTTTTTGTATTGAATATTTACAGCAGTCCTAAATGCAGAAAGCACTAATTCCGCACGCTGTTTCGAAAAACCCTCGCTATAACGGGCAACCGGGTGCTAGTGATTGGAAGAGATTTCAACGTCCCACACAGTGCATGGGGATACAGGATCGAAACCCAGAAAGGCAGGAACTTGTGGTTGGACGCACAGGAGGAGGGCCTGACGCTCATGACCGATCCATCCATTCCTACAAGAACAGGTACAAGCGTTTGCGCGAACACCACGCCAGATTTGACGTTCACCAAAAATATACTGGACACGCAATGGACCATTACGCAACATGACTTGGGAAGCGATCATTTTATACTTGAAATAACGGTGAGGGCAGGGCCACGGAAGGCAAAAGGCAGACAACTTAAACTTGTCGATTGGGACAAGTTCCGGAACATCAGAGAGGAGCCCGACGAAATGATACAGAGTATTGAGGAATGGACCGAAAAGTTAAAACGAGATGTGGAGGCCGCTACACAAACGGTGCCACTGGAGGCGCAGCTAGAGTATGTAGACAATAAGCTTCTCCACATGTGGGAAGCTAAGGAAGGTTTACAACGGAGGTGGAAAAACCAAAGGCACAACCGGACACTTCGTAGAAGGATAGCCAAATCGAACAGGGATATAGAGCAATACGCCCAGCAGCTGTGCAGACAACAGTGGGAGGAAAAGTGCAATGACATGGACAACCAGATAGGAATGGCGAAAATGTGGACCATCCTTAGACATTTGTTAAACCCGGATGGAAACAAGTTGGCAGAAAGGCACAATATTAATCGGTTAATACAAAGATATCAAGGTACAGAGCAGGATTTCCTGAATGAAATCAAGAAAAATCTCTCAAGCGCTTCCCGTTACACACCCTGATTACACAGGGCTGGCAAATGATGATTTAGGCAACGAGATCGGGGAGGCAGAAGTGAGGGCCGTCTTGCAAAAACTCAATACTAGAGCAGCACCTGGACCAGATGGCATAACTAACAAAACGCTACGCAATTTGGATGACGAGCCCATAACCAAGGTAACTGAATTCATTAACAAATCATGGAAGGCAGGACAGATTCCGCAACAATAGAAGACGGCAAAAATCGTGTTAATACCCAAGCCAGGCAAGCGAGTGCAGATTGCGGACTTGAGACCCATATCTCTCACATCTTGCGTGGGGAAACTCATGGAGCACGTGATTCTGGAGAGGATAACTACCTATCTCGAGGACCGGGATGCGCTTCCACCCACAATGATAGGGTTCAGGAGGAACCTCTCAATGCAAGATGCAATGCTACAGTTAAAACATCAGATTATAGATAATCCGGGAACAGCGACAAAGGCCATTCTAGGGTTAGACCTCAAGAAGGCCTTTGATAATGTAACCAATGCAACGATGCTAAAAAGGGTAAACGATCTAGATCTGAGACAACGGACGTACAATTACGTGCGTAATTTCCTGACGGGAAGGAAGGCAAAGATCATGATAGGGGACCTAGTTTCGGAGGAAATTGAGATGGGCAGTGCAGGTACGCCGCAAGGCTCGGTATTATCACCTATGTTATTCAATCTGGCTCTAATTGGACTGCCAACCAAACTCCAAGCAATCGAAGAACTGAATCATACTATCATACGATACTATCATACATACTATCATACGACTGAATCATACGACATCACCCTATGGGTGAGAAGTGGTAGTGATGGCGAAATAGAAGAAACGCTTCAAACAGCAGTCGAAACGGTCGAGCGGTATCTGGAAGGTACTGGGCTAGCCTGCTCTCCGGAAAAATCAGAGCTGTTGCTGTACAGACCTACTCGTAGAGGTCGCAAACCAGGCAACTATCTGCAAGATCTCGCTCATAGAGAAGAAATACAGTTGAGAACAGCCGATGGAAGAACCATACCCATAGTCGACAGGATCAGGGTACTGGGTCTGCTCATCGAAGCCAAGGGCAACAATGGAGAAATCCTCCGGAGACTGGTTGCAACTGTAGCCCAAATAATGAGACTCATAAAAAGGATAGCAACTAAGCACAGTGGCATGAGGGAGGAAAACACGATAAGGTTGATACAGGCATTCGTGATAAGCAGAATAGTATACGTAGCGCCATACTTAAAATGGCAAGTCGCAGAAAAGATCAAGCTAGACTGCCTCATTCGAAAAATATTCAAACTAGCTATAGGGCTACCGATTAGCACAAGCACCGACAAACTGTTACAGCTGGGCCTGCACAATACAATAGATGAGCTTATTGAGGCGCAGCATTCGGCGCAATATGAACGTCTCTCTAAGACACGAGCAGGAAGACATATTCTAGAGCGACTAGGCATAACGTATCACACACAACACGGCGATAAGGTGGACATTCCAAAAGAGACCAGGGAAACAATGATGATACCACCCTTGCCAAAAAAACATGCACCCCGAACACAATAAAGCCAGACGAGAGACAAGAGCAAAACAAATACAAAAAAAGTTCGGTAATGACAAGGACGCAGTTTTCGTAGACGCTGCTCGATACAAGCGCAAACGAAGGTTTACCGCAGCCGTAATCGATAGCAACAAACGCTGTACGACATGCCCAACCATACGGACCACAAGTACCGAGACAGCGGAAGAGGTAGCCATAGCGCTCGCTGTAGCTCAGACAAACGCAACCGTGATAGTCAGTGACTCTCAAACGGCAGTGAGAAACTTTGCCAACGGCCGCATCTCCCCGGCGGCACTACGTATTCTCAAAGGAGGATGCCGAACAAGCCCCAGAAATACATATATTACAGTGCAGTCCACTTATAACGATACCACATATAACGATATATCGGTTATAACGATGGGTCGACTTAACAGTCTCATTTTATGCATTGGGGCTATGGGGAAAAAAACCATATATAACGATATGTTATCCACCGCATATCGGATACAACGATGAAAAGTTTGCCGTGGACGGCATGTTTCATTCAGAATAATCGTAACATTTAGATTGATAAGTTCCTCTGAAACGAACTATGCCGAGACAAGACGAAAAGTTAGCGTAGGCGAGTACGTATCTGCCGCCACTGCAGCACAGCGCCGGCAGCGCGTCCCGGCCGTTCAAAAAGCCGAGGAGAGCATCGCGAGTTGGCGCGACGCGCTACAGTTGGCGCCCGCTGTGTCACGTTTGGCGCCTCGCCTCGCGTCGACCGCGGAGAGGCCGAGAGAATTAAAAAAAAAAAAAAAAGCGAAAAGCAAAGCGCCGCGCTCCGCGGCTCCCCGCCTTCTACAACGGCAAGCCGGCAAGCTACTCGTAGCTTGCCGAACGAAAGCGGGAAAGAGAGAGAAAATAAAAAAAGCGAAAAGCAAAGCGGCGCGGCGGCATCGGGGCGGGGCCTCGTTGGCATTCCGGCTGTGTACCCCTCTGGCTGTGCTTTCTTCCTCCCACTGCTCCCACCCCGCCGTCGGTCAGTCTCTCTTCCTCAGCGAACCCGTGATGCGTTCTTCGGAGTAAGAAATAAAGTCTTGTTTTTGACATCCTACTATCTACAATATTTATTAATTGGTGAAAATAACGAAATGAAGCCTGGAGCTACAAAAGCTACGTCCGGCGACGATTTTTTGGCGGCAGTCCAGATATAACGATCACCGGTTATAACGATCATATTTTTAGGTTTTCTCGATATCGTTATAAGTGGACTGCACTGTATATGGACACCTGCTCATGCCATCGCGGGGGACAGCAACAACGGGGCTGTACATGACGCAGCTCGAGGGCTCACCGACCGAGCTGCCCTCTCAAGTGCCGCCCCAGCCTCCTCCGGTGATTACGGCGTGGCAGACGAAGTGGGAAGACAGAATGACCAGATACAATGAAATTACAAAACATTATAGATTACAGAGGGGCATATTCCCGCCCCCTCACCCAAAATTAACAAAAAGACAGTCTGTCGAATGGCGGCAGTTACAAACTAGGACATATCCAAATCCTGCACTATCGCACATTATATATCCCGATTTATACAAAACGGACAGGTGCAAGCGTTGCGACTCCAGAGCCACTCTGGAGCATATGTTATGGAAATGTAGAGGGATTAGTACTCATAACAAGTATGCGGCCTTTGCTGACAGCCTTCGCGCGCGCTGGGAAGCCGCAATGCTCAGTTCCGTCCTCGAAGACCAAATGTGGGCCGCCCAGCGGGCCGAGGAAGCCGCCAGGATTCAAGGACTCCTGGCCGTAACCTAGGCGGGGCCAATCACCCACCCCATCTACTCGCCGGACTCTGAATAAAGTTCTTTCCTCCTCCTATACCTCGTCAGGCAGAACAGAATGGCTCTGAGAGTGCACTGTTCGCACGCAAGTGCATTTATACAGTGCTAATGACTTCTTAGAACTTCACTTATGCAAGCCAGCACACTGAGATGAAGGGCATGCTTTCAGAACACTGACAGATTGTCCCTGCACTGCCATCAAGCTATTTTGCATTAACAATTATCTTCAAAACCAGACTATTTGCACCATTACACATTACTATATCCCTAATCACCAGACTATTTGCACCATTACTCATTTCTAAATTCCTAATTTCGGTAACTTGCATGTTAAATGAAGCCCGTTGCCTGCATCTCATGGAGAGAAAAACCAGAAAAAGAAAAGATGTATGCCTACCTCAAATTCATCGAAAGTGGTTCTATGATGGTAGTACGCATGAGAAAATATCCGGTACACTCTTCGGCACACAGAACCTAGCTTCGCTACCGAGGATTCCTTGATGCTAACTCTGCAAAAAACAAAGTAACAATACCCCATGACAAATTGTGGGCAGCAGTCTCTCACAAGTTTGCGTCTTTCAATGGAACATGCACATCTAAGCCCAAACACACAGTCAAACAATTCAAAAGCACTTTAAAACACCTTTTCCTTGAAACCTAGTGACACACTATATTTAGAGCGATCCCTTTCATGAAAAAAAAAAATACAGCACCGTTTCTCTAACTTTCTGGCTTTGAGGAACCGTGGAAGCTTTCACAGAATGGAGCGAAACATATTTAACATAGCCCTCCACCCCTCCCTCAGTTTATAGCTAAACTGTTAAGTGATATGTTTGTGCCAAGAAAGATAAACATTGCATGCACCATTCTTACAATAAAATACAACAGGAGTAAGAACTCTGAGATGTAATTCGCAGGACAACGAGACAGGGCAGAAAAAAATAAAAAGCAGAGACCTTCGAACTTCACAAGAGCGATTGAGGGACAAGCCAAAGAGCATCACAGATGCATTACCCCATTGAAGTAACCATTTGTCCTTCCGGTTCACATCAGCATTGTCTATTAGTAACGTAACATTTTCTTATGATGTTGAAAAGGTGTTTCAGCCCCCCTCTGCCGAAAATTAAACAAGATACACAGGACATACTGGAAAATCTTATTATAGCAAACCTCCGATGAACATTATTTTTTTCAGATTAAAAATTTTTTTCGAAAATTCCCCTCCAAACTTCCATTGGATTAGTGCAAAATTATTTTACTATGAATGTCAAAAAGCCGAATTTTTCACAATAACACATGGAGGTTTACTGCCCTTATATCTCTGCACCACTTCAAAATAATGAATAGCAATCTTAAAAAGTTACTTGGCTGTGAAATCAATGCCCTGCTGCACACATGACACGATCACCATCATCAAAACATCCATGTATTTCTCTATACCCTACTTAAATGTGCGACAGCCTCATCGCCATCACCATTTCATGCACTTGTTTTTTGCATCAGGCTTTGCTGGGTTGCCTTTGTTCCGTTGGCCAGCTCTGCCTGCACACTCGTTACACAGTCGTTTTCTCCCCTTTGGATTTGTGGTTGTACGTTCACTATGATCTCCGAAAGCAGCACAAAGGAATGCAGCGACAGTGGAAAATGTGAGGCAAGTGACCTATGGGATGAAGTCACCAATCATCAACCATGCATTCCTCACTAACGTTTCAACACTACACACAGTGTGACGACGAAGTATGCATGTCGGCTTGGCCGACGAATGATAATACTGTCGGCTAAGCCGCCATTGGTTGGAATAAGGAAACGGCGATGACGACAATGACAGCAAAAATGACACTGAAACAGCGCATGCAAACCAATTTGAAAAATCAGTATCTAACATTTCTGCCTCAAAGTGCGTTGGAAGGACACGCATTTGGAAGTTTGTCATTGTAAGTTCGTCTTGCTCCAGTCGAGCTGCACCCTTCAGGCAAGTATTGCACACTTCCACAAATAAACGTCAGCTTGTTTCGCAGTGTTTCCTACTTGTTTTTGTTCTTCGCTGACATCACTGACACTGTTTTTGTTCTTCACTGAAGGAGCACTGACATCAAATTTTAAGATCGAGATGTGCCCATCATTCAATCGCTTGGTATGCATTGGTCTTCTTGGACAAACTTGAACGGCATCCGTCGCGTGGAAGTTACTTTAATTCGATGTCAAACAGCGCAGAAAAGCTAAGGAGAAAAAATGAAAAATAGACTGCCCTGCGACATCGACACTAGTGCTACGTGTTCGGTGTGATACATTCCACAAATACCATCCTGAGTGACGATGCCCTATTAGCAATATCGTGTACGATCCGAGTGTTCTTATCCTGGTGCCGAAGCGCAGAAACGCACTTGCTCGTTGCATCTGATCTTTGTTGCACCGGTTTTAATGATTTCGTGAAATTATCAAGCTAAAAACCACCTTTAAGAGAACGGCGAAAGAGCATGATTAAACAGGTGCTTGTCGGTCAGCATGTCGGTGAATCAATGTGGGTTGCAGGCGAGTTGGAGTCGTATAGTTTGAAGCACGGAAAGAGCGCAATGAGGGTGTCTTTTCTTATCACGTATGTGTTACACATCAACACGACCACAAGCTATCAAAAGTGGGACAGCGTATAGTCAGATATCATCGTTAACAAGTAACACGCAGGTATCGCTGAATTTTAGTTCACCTGTAGACTTTGCGTCCACGCAAAAGTGGTAATACCATGTCAACTGCGAGAGGCTAGATAGGTGGAGCCATCTGGAGGCGCAGAAAAGAACCTGGCAAGCAGGAAACTTATTCTATTGCTCCGCTGATGCTCATACACGATAGCTATAGTGCATTGACCCTTCTGCGTATACCTCAATTCTTTGCACGCCAAAACACACCAATATAGCTAACTGAGACACACGAGCGAACATAACTGAAGCGTGCATCCTCAAGCACCTGTGCAGTGCTGCTTGCAACGGCGTCCATTTCAGAATCACTGCTCTGCAAAAGGACGATCGAAGCAAAAATAATTCGCGACATCGCGAATTCCAAGCTCCAGACTATCGTACTGAACCCGAGTCGACACTTTGTACAGCGACGACAGCAATGCAGGTGACAAGGCAAATCTGAATGTGTCCGCCTAGCATACGAAATGTTTGCGGAGTAGCTGAGCCTGACGTCACTCTTTTCTGTGAAGTGGTCAGCTGTAACGTGATCTGGAAGTGACCGCGACGTAGCGCCACTGCTGGTGCTCCAAGCGCTAAAAATGAAGTGATCGCCGTCAGTTTTGAACAGTGCTAGATACCAGTGATATAAATCAATAAAAGTGATAGTTATTCATCCCTCAGTTGTTTTAGGTCGCGAATCGCTGCTACAGGGTCTATAGCTACTCGCTGACGCAAAAATCTTGGCATGAGTAAATTTGATGTCAGTGCTCCTTTAAAGCATTACACGACTGCGGATGTGTACCTAGCACAGGTAGGAAACTCACATGGTTGCATTTACGTATGATTTTGCACAAATTCTTTTATTACGATAGCATATACAGTAATATATAGACTGCTTATAATGTAAGTCACGGGAGTCGCGATTATCTGCACTATAAGCGGTACCACACTATAACCAAAACAACCTTTTCTAAGAGTCGCACTTGCGCAAAACGTGTTCAGCATGCAGCTTGGTGTGTTCAAAAATTGGAATATGCGATGCGTGATTTCAATTTCTGAATGTTAAAAAAATATAACGTCCAAAGACACGTGTTGCCAATGAATTGAATGCGAAGGGGGGGGGGGGGGGGATGTCTAATAACTGAAAGCACCATCGCAGAAATTCGCCGAATACCAGAACGCCTCGATTATGTGCATTATGCAGAAACTATTTCGAATCACGTCCAGAATTTGACGCATTGAAAGATGCCAACTATTCAATTTCACGGGCGTACCCAATTTAAGACATCGCAATCGAATCACGAACCACTATTTGACTGCTACAGGTGCCGCTCTCATTTTTATGAACGATAAGCATCCCTTCCTGTCTAGTGTGGACACCGCAAAAAGTTTCGTTGATTCGGTACCAAGTTGCAACTTATATTTATGCGACCGCTATCGATTGAAGCACAACCAACGTCGATTAGGCTTAGCTTGCCGTTTGGTATATTGTCACGGAAAGTTTGTCTGAAACATGAAGATTTGGCGTCAAAAAGATCGCACTAGCAGTGAACCAAGAACAGCGTGCATGATACAAAGTTCGCGTTCGCGGCCGGGAGATCAGCAAAGACGACAAATCGCCAAGCTTACATAAGACAGCGCACTGGCAGCAAAAGTAAAAGCTCACGTTATAAAAGCGTAAAAGGTTTCCAATTTACGGACAAGGAAGCAAATGCGATATTTGTTGCAAGCTCGATAATGATGACGCCTTTCCTGTCAAGAAATTGTTATTTGATTGATTTGTGGGGTTTAACGTCCCAAAACCACCATATGATTATGAGAGAAGCCATAGTGGAGGGCTCCAGATATTTCGGCCACCTGGGGTTCTTTAACGTGCACTGAAATCTGAGCACACCGGCCTACAACATTTCAGCCTCCATTGGAAATAGGGCCGCCACAGCCGGAATTCGATCCCGCGGCCTGCGGGTCAGCAGCCGAGTACCTTAGCCACTAGACCACTGTGGCGGGGCCAAGAAATTGTTAAGCGCATGCAGTTTATAAGGACAGAATCGCACGTGCCACGCTGAGCGGTGTGCGGACGAAGCCACGCTAGCTACGTAGTATGCTGTAGTCGCATCGGCGCCGGTGCAAAAGCTTATCGGTGACCGAGGCAACCGTCCTCCTCCCTTACTTGACGAGCCCGCGCAGTGTCCTGCAGTCTTATTTCTTCCCTCCGCCCTTCGTTCGTTCACTCCGTGTCTCCTCCTCCTCTGTAACGGACGCGTCATTCGCTCCCCAGCAGCGCACCTAGCGCATCGCCTTTCAGCAGCGCACTCACTACCGCATTTGTCCCAATTTCTAGCAACCGCATCATAATCGGTCTCTCGTCTTGACGGACAGCACAGTAAGCGGTATGTGTATACATGGGGTTCTATGGGAAGGTAGACGAGAGTAGAAAAAGACCGTACTCTACACGTTCACGCTATAAGTGGTCTACAAAGTACATGGACACTCTCGGCTGGATTTGCCACCGGCGTCGGTGCCGCCATCATTCAACGTATATGTATAGGTAACTATATATATGAAGACGCAAGAAAAAAATAAACCAGAAAAAGACAGCGCGCGGAAACGAAGGCCCAAGCTTTCGTTCTTGAGCGCGCGGCGTTAGCCACTGAGCCACGAAGGAGCACTTCAACGCTGAAACGGCAAACTATTTATTATATCTACCACTTAGCGCTGCCATCTTTATTTTGGGGGAACTAGCGTGTTTTCAGCATTACCAGCGAGATGGAGCGAAGAACAGGCTCAGCGTAAAACTCTGCCCCTAGCTCGTCACGATGCGCTGATGAGTGCTCATCTCCCACGCGTGCTTTGTTCCATGGAGGAAAGGGGCCTCATCCGTGCACTTATCCTGTGGTGGGAGAGAATTGGGCGCCTTCGGATTTCATCCGAACGATTGCGTTTAGTTGCCGTGCGCACAAAGATCCATCCGCTCGCTGGACAGGCCCCATTTGCGAAAAGAGTGCACTTTTCAAACACAGCGAAGTAACAACTGAAACACTTGTTAGTTCGCACTCATATCAGTACCTGCGATCAAGTTTCGCGCATCGTTTTTATTTAAACAGCGCGTCAAGTGTCAAGCTGTAAACGTAGCTAGTTAGCTCTCGTCCTGTGTATGTTGTTTTCGCGCAACATTTGTGCGTGAGCAGCGCGCTGCACATTTCGATATGCTTGCCGTTCTCAGCGTTACACTCCCAAGATGTTGCTATCTCATTCATTGCTTCGCCCATGTGGCGAAACTGTGACTTTTTAGCAGTCCCTCGAGATTCATTGTATCGAAATTTTACTGCATGTGGAATGCCCAGATTGCAAGTTAGTTTCCAAAAACTGACAACCTCAATCTTTTTTTTTTATATAACAGCAAACAACCCCCTTGCAAAGAAAAACTCTAATGAAGGGTGCTTGAACTTTGCAGCTTGAATAATCAATGATGGTCAAGTTTTCCAACTTGACCATCATAAATTTTTAAGCTGCAGTTTGTACTGCAGTTTCAAGCTGCAATTTATACAATAAATATTTACGAAATTGATTTTAATTTTACTAAAAAATTATATTGGTTTTAATTTATACTATAAAAAATTACAAAAATGATTTTAATTTATACCATAAAAATTTAAAAAATTGATTTAAATTTTTAAGGTATCAAGTGACATATTGAAGGTATCAAGTGACTGATTTAAATTGTTATCATTAGCCTGATTTTTATTCGTGCCAGTTTTCTTTTTTTTTTCTCTTACTTGAAACACACGTACACACACCACGGTTTCCATGAAATATGTCCCGCATCATTTCACATTAATGACAAATTTTTCCGGGGTGCCTTCTTGAGCATGCGTCACCTTTCATCGATAGGAACTATACTCCAAGACAGCCAAACATTTAATACTGGTACTTTTGGAAACTTCTATCAAGACAGGACAAAATATGAAAAGATCATTTGAAGTCCACAATCCCACACAGACATACCAGCATCCAAGGTTTGAGCACGAAATTTAGAAGTAGAATATTGACCTTCACTTCCTCTTTTGATAAAGCACCTATGATTACAAAACTAAGGACACCAATGCCCTTGAAGAATGATGTCTTGGCTTGAAAGTATTCAGTAAACATTCCCGTCTCGTAAGAGTTACCACACATTACTTCAACTGGTCTCGTACCGGCTTGGAAAGTACTTGTTGCTGTTCAGGAGACATGCAGCTCCATCAAGGGTGTGTCGCGTGTAGTCAATGGCTGGACACTCCTTGGGCGTCTTGTGGGCAGCGCAAAGAAAGATCCACTGTTCCGTGGCCGTCATTTGGGTGCAGCTATCTGCGTTGCATTCAGCCTGCAAGTAAGGAGCACGGCCAGTGAGAAGTTTATCAAGGCCAACAGTGACGTGCATCCAAACACAATGTACACAGAAGTTTCCATTGCTAGACAAATAGTTTTCCACAAAAAAAAAAAATCGTAATTCTTGGGTATAAGTATCAAAATGAAAACTCAGTTACGAAGCATACCGTAGTGGGGTACTCTCGTGAATCACTATAAACGCCTGAAGTGTTCTTAGAACAAGCACCTGAATTCATGCACAGAAGAGAGACTTGCATGTCACCCCTTAGCAATGCAGCTGTGAACCAGTGACTGGTATTTAGAAACTAAAATACACGGCCACTGGTCTCCCCAATTAAGGAATCAAACTCTGCGATTTCAAGTGCCGAAGCCACAATACAGGGGTGAGGCACACCACTGGCACGATATCACTGCAAATACATTTCACTGAGGTGTGGCAGGGGTAGTCAAGTATTTCAGAGTGTGCACATCCAACAAAGCAAGTACAGAGTTCAATTCCCACTGTCACGATGCACTAAATAGTCTTTTTAATGAGAACAGGATATACAAATCTGCAGCTCTGTGGTGTAGGTACACATAAGACGAGAAAAGATGGCCTCTTATTTATCTTCTATGTTTTACTTTTCCACCACAATGCTGCATTCAATGTTGTGCCATGCTTTCTTATAGGTTGCTAAAACAACAGTATTTTCAAAAATTAACCACCCCTTGGATCTAGGCCCATGGCTGGTTTAGCGCTTCCAACTCCTTTAAATTAAGCCACAGTGGACAAGAAGTGAAGCTGCACTCTCCGGCTCAGTCATGGGATCCTTTAGCCACTAAAATGAAGTGGTGGAGGGCAACAGTGCTACAGTGGCAAGCGAAGCTGCCTGAAGCTACAGAAATTACTATAATGCCTAAACTGCCCACTGCTGTTAGGAATAAAATGATAGAACAATGTAGCTTATTAAAATGTGCAACCACGCCTGGAAAACCTGCAAATGTTAATTATTCAAAAAAGCCATGCAGACACAAAATGAGAAGGGAAGGAAAATAAGCAAGCAGCTTTTTTTTTGCTTTATTTTGTCACTAGAGCACACTTTTTTTTTAGATGCGCATGTACCCCTAGATTCGCACACAAAGCAGCAGCGAACATGGTACAGCAGATAAAATCAACAAGCCACAGACTGTTTTGAGATCACTCTAACTTTTTTGGCAACTTGCTCAGTGGTCATTTCATGAACTTCCAAATCTCGCGCAATAGGCTTGGTCATAACAGAGGCCCCGAAACGGTAGGACACCGATAGACTGAAACTATCTCACAAATTGCACTCAATTTTCACTGAAATTTACAAATAACTTATAAAACTATAGAGCAAGCTAACAAATAATTTATAAAACCATAGAACAAGCTAACAAACACTGCACAGAAATTCTACTAGCCATGATTTACTTGCTGATCAGCAAATTACGTTTTGACGGTGACTACATGACATGGAAGCATGGACATTAGAGCAGGTCAAAAACCAGGTGGTACAAAGTACAATTTACACTTATTTGAATTCGAATCACTGGGGCACTATATCAGATGCTGCAGCCTGCAATACCAAATGACGAGAAATTGCCTGTAATTGAGGTTGCAGCCTAATGAACAGTATTTGCAAAGTCATAGCCATAACAAAGCAGTGCAAAGCCACATCTGATGCAGAGGTTTTGCCAGCAGTGGCCAATGAAGACCACGGCTGCGTGTAGAAGTACTGCATATGACCATGTCGTCTGTTCACCTTAAATCAGAACAGCATGTTTCATGCCTTCCACTTAATGAATTTTCAATGAGTGGAAGATAACTAATCTTGCCTCGTAAAGCAAAAAAAAAAAATATACAGGCACATTGAATAGCAATTCGTTAATGTAATGCAAGACAGACAATGGTACAGTAAGCTGCACTATTACTCCAAAAGCTTTTAAGAACTGTATGCTCACGAGTAAGATTGATTGATTTGTGGCATTTAATGTCCCAAAACCACCATATGATTATGAGAGACGCCGTAGTGGAGGGCTCCGGAAATTTTGACCACCTGGGGTTCTTTAGGGTGCACCAATATCAGAGAACATGGGCCTACAGCATTTTCACCTCTGTCGAAAATGCACCAACCACAGCCAGGATTAGGTCCCGCGACCTGCAGGTCTGTTGAGCATTTTTTTGTTCTACAATGTTTTACAGTATGTATGACATTACAGGTCTTGTTTATCAAAAAATTAGACAAGCTTCCGCAGTAGACATTTTTCATCAGAAGAACATGAACTAATCTGCCACACTATATAACAAATGATGCAAACAAAGATACCTAATATTTTATTGAGGAAACACCAAACTAAAGAACTGGTTCTGATACATGATTGACAAACCAGGACCAAGCTTGAATTGTCAACAAGTTCACAGAACGTAGTGCATCACCTGCACTACTGTCACTGCACTTTCAATAACTGCAAGCCCCGTCAAAGTAATCGCGAGGCATTCATCGGCGATTTTGTTGTGGACATGTTCATTGCAGTTGAAATGTCAAGTCATGCAAAGACAGTACTGATAGAAGCCACAAGGTGTTAGTAGTGGTATGCATGCAATTAGATAAGCCATTTAAAAGCAACTACAAACCTCACATACCTGCAGCCTGACTGCAAGACCATTTAGCTCCATGCAGAACTGCCTGTAAAGATAACATCACACAACAGGCTTACACATGGGTGACGGTTGTTCTGGAATGTACACATGACGATAAATTCGATTAGCAGTCGCTTCTTGCTGCTGTACGCCAGTCAAAGAATGTCAAATACACAGTTCAGTGCATGACGGAGCTACCGATTACGGCCACACAGTGTGTAACCTATATAATCAAGACAGTAATTTCATTCTTTCAGGTAATACTCCTGAAGTAATGAAATGACAGTTTTACAACTGGCAAACAAGGCCTTAGGTGCGGACGCTATTTTTGAGTAGCGTGCGTACCAAGGCTTTACGTGCATTCGCACTGGTGACATCTCAAAGCGATTGCGAAAGCAAAGCACCCCAATTTGCTAACTCCCTCGAGGCCCCGCCACATCCAACCACAATACGCGAGTACGCACCTTAGATGTTCGTACTTCCACACTCCCTCGTCCTGGCCATCGGGAGGCGTCAATATTTCATCGACATTCGTCGGGTCTTTGCGGATCGCCTGCTGGATGAACTGTTGCGCCGGAAGAGCATGTCACCGCACGGCCACTCGAAACCGTCACAACATGACCAGCACGTTACATACCTGCTGAACGGCGAGCGTGCTGTCCATTTCGTCAAACGGCTCATCGGGCCAGCTTGAAAAATTCTGGTCAACGAGAAATGAACAAGCAGAAAGTGAAGTCTAGGTCACGGGAAACGCAATCAAAGTTTGCAGAACCAACAGTTAGCTCGACATCCTAGTAGCGATTGGAACACTCCAACTAGCTTCAACTTTCGGCGAGACGGCGATTACGGAGCTGCCCATGAAACAGAAAGATGCGTCAGACTATCAGTTTGGTCGGAACGTCTGTCGAGAAGGGTATCGGAGGTAGAACATTGATCATGCTAGGCCTTCGATCGGGGCCCCGCTGACGTAAACGCGAGGCAACGAATAAACAACCAATAATGGACAGATTGAACACTCTACGTGCCGGTAACGGGCCGAAGCGGAGTTACAGAGACAAAAACTGTCACCTCGGCTTTTGTTCCCGGTCGATTCCGCCGAAGAACACCCGCACTGTCAGCCATCTTCATGTTGCCGTGTTTCCAACCAGCGTTTGTGCGTGCGTTAGCTTGTTTCGTCTTCGCTGCGTCTTTTGCTAGCGCTCGTTGCGCCGCCTGAAGAGCAGAGTTGATAACGTATATATGAGTAGAGTGCGCTCACAGCTGTGTAGTTTTTCGTACTTAAATTGCCAATCGCCGCAGTATATACAAATACTCGTAGTTTACATTATTTATTAGACGTTATCTAAGCCAGGAAGGCCCTATTCACGTATAAGTATTAAATAAAACTGCGAGAAAACTGTGCATTATATTAAGGAACGTTTATTGCTAGAACCGCGCTTAGCCATGCTATTCTCATATCATTGTTTATTACACCCTAGCGCCACCAAGCGGGATGCTGAGAAAGCTATATACGCACCATCTGTTGCTCTAGCAGCCGACAAGATATCCGAACGAGCGGTGGTTTATACGGGTTACAAGATGCCTCGCACGCACCGCTGAAGCCAGAACTGCGCGACGAAACGTGTCACACGTTTAGCGTAGGTTGCTAGCGTCGCGAGGAGAAGCCCTTTCAACTCGTAGCGACTGGCGGTGTCGTACTTGCAGAGCGACGAGCGCCGCATATGGATCGCGCTGCGGCAAGCAGCCTGGCTTGAAAAACTCATTCACTGCAACGGACCGCCTGTCAGCGTAGCGACGCAGTCCACTAGCCATGGCAAGCACAGAGAGCACCTACATCCTCGATAGACGAGAATCAGTCAAGGTGAGTGAGAGAGAAATTACAAAAAAAAAAAAAGTGGGCCGGGCGGATTTGCGGCAGAGCAAAACGCGGACCTGCCCGTGACAGCCGCACGGTCAGCTGTGCGCGCCCCGCGGCATTGCAACAAGTGCAGTTGAAGATTTTGCTCTTTGGCCAAGTGCCGTCGGCGCTCTCGTACGGACGTATCTCTCGATCAAAATCGCGCTCTCGCAACGATCGTGCAGGATTTTGCGCGTTGTGCCGCGCAGACATGCGACGTCGTCCGTCGCTTTCCCACAGATGTATTGATCGATGCGTTCGGTGGCCAAATAAAAGAGGACCCGCGGGCGACCTCCGACATTTTTGGCATCGTGCATATGTCGCCTTCGTACAGTGGGATGCAGCGTCGTTTGTGGCCTTTCTCACAGCTGGAATTAAAAGACACGCGCCGAGAAAGGTCGTCGTAACGGTTACTCGGGAGCGCACGACGCTCATTAGTTGTATGCAGTCCGGCGAAAACCGGTCCGGCCTAACTCTCTGCAGTGCATCAAATCAGCTGAAGGAAACGAGGTGCTATAAATGATTAGGGCGCGTGGGCTTTCGGCGGTCGCACCTCTTATCTCGAAGACATTCCATGGTGGGGGGGGGGGGGGGGGGGGGGTCTTAAGGTGCCGAAACGCCGCCACTAGAGCGGGCGCGCTCTGCGGGAACTCTGCAGCCGCCGATGCTTGTTGCGGGCGCTGGTTTCGATCTCGCGGCGCGCTTTGGCGGCTCGCCAAGTCCGCAGCTCGCGATCGGCGGATCAAAGTTGTCGAACTTGATACGGACCGCTAAGAAACAGTTGTCGTTTTGCCGACGACGCGCAGGACGTAACTCGAACCTTGCGCGTCGGACGCTAACTGGGCGGCCAAAACAGAATGCGGCGTCCCGGGTTTAGCGAGTGCTCTCGCAGGCCGAGAGGACGAGGCGGCGGCTAGGTTCTAAATGATGCAGTTGGTCCGGGCGCCTAAATATTTGACGTGCTTCGCAACACTTTAGCATGTTACCGCGCGTGCAACACAAGAACACTTCATGTTCGAAATTTGGAATAAAATTCTTGTCCATTATTTCGTTGTTAGAATGTGCAAAGTATCGGTTTTGCATGATGATAGAGGACAAGCAGTTTTGTTGGAGGCAGAGAGTTTATAAGTCGTACACATTTATTATGAAATCGAGATGATTCCAGGAGAATCATACCGTGATCGTTGCGCAGATGCAGCACTGATGACTTCTGAGATATAATTTTATAATTCAGTAAATAACCGCGGAAATATGTTGTCCCAATTTAGGCAGGCAAACAATTATTATTTTTAAGAACGTCGAGTGCTGCCGTGCGCATATTTATAGCCCTGTTCACTGTAAAGGTCAGCCATTAAGAAATGCAACGTAACTACATTTTCGTACCCAAAGCGGGAAAAAAATTCGCTGATATAATCAATTAGACGCACCCTTACGCAGGTGCAGAATTATCATTCAGGTCTCCATATCGGTTAAACCAACAAAACGACATGGTCCCGGCCACGATAGGGCAGTCTGTGCGTATTACTCAAAAATAAAATTAAAAACGTCTAGCTGTTGCTCTATTTTGGGAGTCCTGGCTTGTCATTTGTATAACTATATTTCAAGACTCGCATCAACTCTCTTTTGGATCTTTATACTCTCTTTGGAATGTCACGGGAGGCGCGCCTCTCCAGAAGATAGTTAACTTGTATCCTTGAAGAGTATTATGTATGTAGCAAAGTGTTTTCGTTCGAGTGTAATTTTCTAAACTTACCCACTTACGAAACGTATATACTCTGCGACGTATACACATATCTAGCGAGATGCTATTCATAATTGTTTAATTATTGCAATGAGCTCATGTACCGTACGTGTGAAGGCAGTTTAATCATTACAGGGCGTCCCAATTATCACGCGCACGATTAAAAAAAAGATGAATGGCATTGCGCGATGCAAAGCTAATACATATTGTTCCCAGTGTACTGTAGTAGCAGCTACTAACTTTTTCGTCAATTAGAATTAATTACTTAGTAACAGTCATATTTGCAAAAAGTACTCGCCTACTTCACAAAACTTCAATGAGGCAGATGTGCGTATGTTGAAACATCTGTCTGTTCTACTGTAAAGAACGTACCAATTGCGTGCTGATTATTTCCTGTCAATAGAGAAAGCCCGCGAAATACGAAAAAATAGCACGTGATTAGACCGCTGCGCGCCCCGCCGCGGTGGGCTAGTGGCTAAGGTGCTCGGCTGCTGACCCGCAGGTCGCGGGTTCGAATCCCGACTGCGGCGGCTGCATTTCCGATGGAGGCGGAAATGTTGTAGGCCCGTGTGCTCAGATTTGGGTGCACGTTAAAGAACCCCAGGTGGTGGAAATTTCCGGAGCCCTCCACTATGGCGTCTCTCATAATCGTATGGTGGTTTTGGGACGTTAAACCGCACATATCAATCAATCAGACCGCTGCGCGCATCAGATATAAGCGCC